TAAACATTATTTAATTTTACTGTTGAAAATCAGCATAGTTACTTAGAAGAACGATTAGTTTTTCTTCACAAATAACTTTTCTTGTAAGATCTATATAATGAATGTTATTGAATACTTTGAAACATGTTGAGAAAATTCATTCTTATATAGTATTTTTATGATTTTGTCGAATTGTTTATTAGTTTCGATATATATTTATCTGAACTTAACGAATATAAAGTAATCATGTATTACTTGATCATAGATATATTTCACAAAATTCAAGAACTATATGAAAAATGAATAATATCTATGGATTAATGGTTGATATTAATTTCTTCAGTGAATTCATAAAGAGAAATTTACAAAATTTTTTTTCTGTTTCAGGATTCACTAACTAATTTAAAATGTTTCTCATTAATATGTTATAAAATTACTCGAGGATATGACAATTTAATTCTACCACTTCTTCGTCGAATGTTAAATCTTGAAGAATTAAGTTTATATATTCATATATTGGGTGGATCAACATTCATCTCTGGTACTCATCTTAATAAGAAAATTCTTAGTCATATGTTACGACTTCATACATTCTCATTTTATTTCGCTTCTGAAAATGTTGTTACTGATTCACCTATTCGTATATCTAATTCAGATATTAAACAAACTTTTACGAATATAAAACATCGACAGATTGCTTCTTTGATAGACTATGATGGTTGTGGGAACGTGATTTGTCGTGTCTTTTCACTTCCATTTAAATTTGATCGTCTGACAAATATCACAAATAATATTCCAAATATTGTATTCAATTCTGTTACTCATTTGAGATTACGCGATAAATATCCATTCAAACACGAATTTTTTGTTCGACTTGCTCGTGGTTTTCCATTTCTTAAAAGTCTATCTATTGATACTATTCTAGCACCAAACTGGAGAGCTAACGAACATCATCTTCAACATATTGATTGGTGCTCAATTGTTGAATATTCTCACCTTATTTCACTTGACATCTGTTCTGCAAATATTTATTATGCTGAACATTTTCTCAATGAAACAAAAACATATCTACCTTGTTTAACTGAATTAAAAATTCGCTATGAAGATTTGGAAATGGTGACAAAAAATTTTACAAGCAATGAAACACGACGTAATTGTAATAAAGTGAACCGATTAATTTTTAAAAATTTCATAGTTTATCCGAAAGATGTTTATCATTATTTTCCTTTATTGTGACTTTAATGTTGTTCTGTAGTTATCTGAATAAAAAATCTGTGATGTAAATTAGATTTTCTTTTCTTAAAACATCAATTATCAAGCAAAAAATATTTGTTATTTATGAAGACAAAATCTGCTTCTGGAAGCTGTCGTCAACACGATTATTCATTTTTTTTTGTGTACATAAAAAATGAGTACATTATAGAATCGGTGAATGTGTGCATCTGACCGTATATACGATAAGTCTTCAAAGGGTAATCCCATTGTGATGAAATTTTGGATACTGAATTGTCTCATCAATATCTCGGTCGGGTTCGAAGATTAGAATAATTCATCAAGAAATTGCTGAGTTGTAGCAAACAATGTCATTATTTCCAGTTCTTTTTCTATGAGAACATTGCCCTATCTCAGTTTTCGTAAAAAACGTTTTGTCTCATAATCAAAAGGAAATGTCAACTATTATATACCATTCGTTAGAGAATTTCACGGGCTACAAGATGGTATAAAACACAGTAAAAACAAGAAGGATAAATCATATATTATAAAGATACTTCAGCTGAAAGTGATGTCTAACACTTTATGAGTCGATGAAGTGCGAAAACAGTACCCGCATATGTAGGCCTCGGTGACCTTTATTAAGTGAGAAACTGAGACATTGATCAGACTAGACAAATGAGTCATCAAAATGATCCTAGCAAGCCGTTTTTCCTAAAACTCGTTTCCTATTTTAGACAGTTTGATCAAAACCAATCTGTCACCAATTATTTTTAACTTTTTGAAGTACATATAACACTGGGATTTAAATCCGAGATTTTTACATTTCTACATCATTTAGTGATGATTGAAATATTGTTAAAAAGTATGCAGCAATACTAAGTCTGGGCTTGTTGATAATTAGTTTTGCTCTGGGTTTAAGAAGGTATTGGCATTTTTTTTAAAAGTGCGAGACCATACAAAATCCGATGCAAGAATCTTCACATACCTAGATGATACAGTATGAAAAAATTGTTTGTTATTACGAACAATTTTACAGAGGATGCAACACGACACAATTTTAGACAATTGAAAAAACTAATATTTTTAATGGATTACTTGTCTATTCTCATTATTATCATCGCTATTTTCCTTCATTGATAAAATAAACTGAACGGCTGCTACGACTTTTATTTTTGATTTTTTTATCATACTGTTTTAGAAATATTCGATGCAAAAAAAATCGTATTAATTGCGATTTGCTTTTTCTTTGATAAAGAAATACGCTTTAAACATAGGTCAACGTTAAAATACGATCTATTGTAAAGTGCACGATAATGACGAATATCATTTCAATCCTTGTTCATTGTTAAATAACTATAAAAGAAAAATATTTGATGAGCATAGCGAATAAAGACAAGACTAATTTCTCTACGTAATGATTATATCGTGTTCTCTCTATTGCTTAATGAGAAATTTCCTGTTCGAAGCATTCAATACTAAAAATCTATAGTATTTTTCATTATTCATCCACAAATGAATCTGATTATTAATGAATTTGAATGTAAAATTATTATTGGTCTTCAAACATCGACAATTCTTAGTAAACCAATCGTGTATCACTGGTGATGATTGATTAAATTCAAATTTTCCAATTGATAATTATTTTAATCCATCAATGAATAAAAATTAATCATGAAAAGATGTTAATTCGATATTCAAACGTTGAAGTCGAGGTAAGACAGTGCATAATTGATCGATCAACTATTGCTCTTCTATTATTGTTTCGTGCGTATAAATTGCGTATTTTCTTAAAGACAACATGATTTGGTATATGATTCAATATTGACGGATTCGAAATTGAAATTGAATGTAAGAAATGCATGTGTTCAACAAGGCTGATAGATGCCAATTATATCAAATTAGAATTAAAACCAATGAATCAAAATTATTAAATGTCAAATTCTTCGAATACACCTTCTTTTAACAAAGATGTATTAAGTGAGACAGCTCACGAAACCATCAGCGAAACTGGGTGTCAAAAAATTTTTGATTTCAAAACTGACTACCCAGTTTGAAAGACTGCAAAAAGTTGTCTTCAAGACGAAGTTTTTGGACTTTGAGAATGGATCCTCACGTTGCTACTGGCAATCAGAATTTGGGACTCTAAAATTGAGCATTTAGAAAACTGAGTTGTTTGATTGAAAAACAGTTTTATTTTCTTCAGTAATTCAGATCCTAAACTTATGGGAAAATATCACTGCAATATACTAAACGATAGCGCGAATCAACTGTACAAAGTGTGAGAGAAAAATTTTCCATAAGCCATGATCAGTGATAATAATTTTAGTAGGAACAACAAAAACATTGATTTTTTAAAGTAGACTTTTAAGTACTTTTGAATACTTCTGGGAATTACTTTCGCCTAACACATCTTGAGATCCTAGATTGAATATTGGATATGTTGTAGAACATTAAAAGACACATCTTTTAGTGCTAATTTGTCTTGCGGGTAAACTATTGGCAAAGTATTCAAAAATTTGCCACAAGCTCAGAATTGACAGGTGATTTTAGTGATAATTCTGAGCAAATTTAACTTGATCAACTTAGAAATCAATCGAACCTATGTCATCACTAACTGAATCATTTGTAATGTGTTGGATACTGATCAAGATAGATACCGAAAGGTGGTGTTAGATGCTAACACTCAGATAGAACATCATATTATATTACATTACATATTTATGGAAATCGTCATAAATGATTTGTTAGATGGCACTAATTGTAACGGGACAAAATGAGTTTGGGACAAATATGAATCTATGATGAAATCAAAGGAACAAAGGAAATGTAATCTAGTATAACGCAGAGTTGGAACCGGTCAGTTTTCACCGGCTTTTATCGGTCTAAAGAAATTAAAACAGTCCTGTGATCTCGCTCCGGATTACGCCAAAAAACGAGTTATACAATTTTCTGAATATACAAATTTTTCGAGATAAAATATGTCGCGAGCAAGTCTAAGTTGTTTTATCAAAATAATTGTATTATTTCAAAATCTATCAGTTATTTTTTCTCCAATTTGTCTAAACTTTTTTAATTTTTTTTAATCGAAGTTTATTTCATTTAGTAGAAAATATAATCAAAACAGCGCTACTTAAGATAAAAGTCTCTTCTTACTGCATTAATGCTTTGTTATAGGCCAGATTTACGATCAAACCATGCGATAAAGATAGATAGTAGGTTTTTCTGAAAAGTATTAGTCAAAAGATGCAAGACTTATAGGTTTGTAATTCAGTGTCGGGTAAATGAATTTTATCCGGAGCGAACTATCACATATTCATCTTTATGAAAACTTACAGATATAAACGACAATAGCACTATGTCTTCTTTAAGATGTTAATGAAATCAAAGCAGAAGACAAAAATGAATGTTTTATGAAGTCTATCGTTTTAATCAACAGTAAGTGATCTAGAATATGCCTCAATTTTCGTCGGTTTTTTACCGCCCAGGTGATTCGATCCGACTGTCGGATTACGTCGGATTATATCGGATTATATCGGAAAAATTACCGGATTTTAACGGATCCGACGGGAACTCGTCGGAAGTTGTCGGCGTCCTAGCCACAGGATTCCGACAGGAGGTTCCGGATGTCGGAGTAATCAGGATCCTGCGAAATCCCTGAAACTCCGACACTTTCCGACATCCAGAACCACTTGTCGGAATCCTGTGGTTAGGATTCCGACAAATTCCGGCGAATTTCTATCGGATTCGACAGGGTGAATTCGACCTGGGCGGTCTAAAAAATTTTTTGAACCAGCCGGACTGGTTTAAAAATTCTGAATTTGTTTCAAATCTGGTATAACGGGACGAAATGAGTATCCATCTAATAAGGTTTCTAAGATGATGAAAATCACACATGCAAATAAAGAAGTATGTTACTTGATATCGATGATAGCTGTCAACAATTGCATTGATATGTATACAAGCATTGCATATTGAATACACAATAGTTGATTCATCAAGGACTCGGTACATAAGTTCTACCGGTAATGTTAGAAATGATAGAATAGTTTTGTTACACATCGATCAAAGTTGATGTTAATGTTGAAATGTGTATTCATTACACAGCATGTGTAGTTGTAATTTTTTTTTCTGTTTGAATGACATGAATGAATTGAATACGTTCCTGATGATTGTGCAATTACTTATTTGAAAAAAGAACAAATGTCAATAGAAAATGACAATTTTTAGTTTTTCTCAATATCATAATATAATGGCTGAGCCATAAATAATAATACTATTGACATTTTAATGATATCTCTTCAGTTAGTCATTATTTAGCCTCGAATTTTTTACCAGAAGATGTGATCTGAAAGGCTCTATAAAATGGCATATTCCATGATATAAATGAAATTAATTCAACTTTTTAACGATAATACTACTGATGGAAACAACCATGATATAATTGCAAAGTTTGTAATCAGTTTTTAAATGTTTTCAAATTCTTTTCAATCTAGGGGTGTCGTATTAGCATTAATGATTAATACTAATGCTTTGGCATTAATGGCATTAGTGTCAATTAATGCATAGGTGTGGCATTAAATTAGCATTATTTTTAATGCTAATACGTATGCTTAGTGTCACTTCTACATTACTAACTTGACATACTATCTTTAACTTTTTAAGAGCTACCCTGTGGTAGTTTTCGTAACTTTTCAGGATCTCTCTAGGGGTACTCTAGGTAACTTAGCAAGTACTACCTGGGGGTATCAAGGCTAACTCCTCAAGGACTGCCAAGGGATACTTTGGATAACTTCTCAAGCGCTACCTATGGGTATCATTGCTGACTTCTCAAGGACTGCCATGGGATACTCTGGGTAACTTTTCAAGCGCTACCTAGGGGTACCATTACTAACTTCTCAAGGACTGCCATGGGATATTCTGAGTAAGTTTTAAAGTGCTACCTAGGAGTATCATTGCTAACTTCTCAACGACTGATTAGGGGTACCCTGGGTAACTTCTGAATGGCTATGCAGGAATAGTAT